AGAGACCATTATAAAGAAAAAAAAAAAAAAGCAGTGTGCAATATAAACAGCAGAAAATTTTGGACTTAAAAGTTGAAAGGGCTTTTCAAGTTCTTTCTCCAGTAAGTATATTGAAAGTTTCTGATCCATAAAGTGTCTTAAAAATCCTGAACTTCCATTTTCTCAGTCAAATGTAATTGGGATCCTATCTCACCAGAATTGGAGGATGAGCAAAAAATATCAGGGACAAGAAAACAAAAGGTAGATGACAAAGTGTTTGATAAATGTAGTAGGATTCTAAAATTGACAGAAAAACCAAATAACAACAATGCAGATAACAATAGCTTTTTAAAATTCTACACTTTTCTATGGGCCCAGGAAGAATAATGGTAAAATAACATCCTTTTTAAACTAATTGTAATTAAATCATTATTTTTACAATTTGTGTTTCTTTCATCAGTTTGTAAGCTCACTGGAGCCTGTCTTATTCCCTACTGTGTCATTACATCGAGTATGGTGCTCAATAAATACTAAGCTGGAGGTTAGAAGTAAGAGGTTCAGGACTCAACAGTATAAAGCTAAACCCTCGCAAAAGATCATCATCACCCAGAGTATCAACAACAAGAAAATGGGCTACAGGCTCTTAGAGACTCACTGTTAGGAGTTAGACAGGAAAAGAAATGACTGTCAAAAGTCTACATAAAAAAGTACTTCTTGTCAGTAGCATTTATCAATGTGTCAAAGGTGACAATGTGTCACCTTTTAATTTTTCAGGTGTCTGTCTTTAATATCTAATGAATTCCCATCTACCAGGATTTATAAATAGTAGATACCTTATAACAAATGTTTATTGATTTAAATTGTTCATTCAATGTCTACCAAATTAACTGCTTTGGACCTACAGAAAGATTTATAATATATTCTATCTGAAAAGAATTATTTTTTCAATAATTTTTTAAAAGAGGGACTTCTTGTCTTGATCCTCATTCTTTCGGCAAAATCTTCCTATTGGAGGCACAGGGGAGTCCATAGCAAATCACTTGAATTACAGGCCCACATGAGATACCAAGGCACCAAGTCTTCACCTTTAAGATTTATAAACTGAATTCCAAAAATATTTTTACAATTTGTTTCACGGATGTGGGAATACACGGTAAGCTGGACAAGATGTAAATATAATATTATTACTGATCCCATAGTTTGAAACTTATTTTCTCCATATTCCTTATAACTTTGGATAAAAGAACTGTGAGAAATTGAGTATAAATTATAGACAACATAAAATCTGAGTATTAGAAACATTTTGGGAGTCCATATCAATGGAGTCCATATCAACCTTTTCACTTTACAGGTTAGAATCTGAATCCCAGAGACTGTAGACACGATAGAGCCCAATATTTAACTGATTTATTAAACCATTTGTATAAAGCTCCCTGGCTTTCTTTCTTGCAAGTCACTCTGAAGAAAATAAAAGTAATCTGCAATACAATTCCTTTCCCCAGACATAAGGCCAGTGGATTCAAAATATAAATAACTGATAGGATCTTTAAATATTGCCTTCTAATTATCATTACAGCCAATACAAATTCCTATAATTCCCTCTGTCTAGTCCCAACTGGATGGTATTTTCCAAGTCACTTCTATCATTAACACGCAAACCAAAAGCACATAATCACCCAAGAGAGTGGGATTTCCCATAGAGCAAAACTTATCCACTCTGGCATTTTCATTGGCATTTGTAAAAGCATTTATAAAAGACTCAAAACACATATATTTCATTTAAACATTTATTTTTAAGCTCAGGAAGTGTTAGCATTCATTCAATCTGTGGATATAAACACCCTAGGAATATATATAGCCAGTAAGTTGGCAAGTAACTGATATGATAATCATAGTTTGTATTTTCTTGAACAAGAAATAAAAATTTAAATGGAACATCCTTTCAGGCAATTTTGCAATGCAGATTCAATTATAGAATGGAAGACATTCCTAACTGAGCTCAATAACCACTGCGCATTACTGTGTATATGGCAATATGATAGATGTTGATGGTAAAAAATGGAAAACAGGCCCTCCCTATTCCAAATTATGTTAGAATTTTATAAAGGAGGTAAACATGTATTTTCAATGTAAATATTTACAGTCTCATAACCACTACCAAATTCAAGCCACCATCATCTCCCACCTGAAAGATCACAATAGTTCTCTAAAGAGTTTCCCTTGCTCTGCTCTGACGACTCTCTAATCTTGTCTTCTTGACATGGTCCAATCCATTACTCTTAGAATAAAAAAGCACTCCTTAGCTTGGTCTATGAGTCCTATGAGCTCTACCTCTGCTTTCCCTGTGGCCTTATCTTTTCCCATTTTTGCACCTGGTTCAGTATGTTCCAGTCACATTAGCTTTCTTTCTCTTCTGGGAATACAAGCTTCATACTGCCTTAGACATTTAAACTTTCTGTTTCCCCTGCCTGAACCTGTCTCTTCAAATAACTTGTTTAAGCTTAGAGTTGCCAAATATCACATATCTGACCACCTTATCTCACTTCCTACCTCATCACCTTCTAAAGAACGACATCATCCTATTTCCTATAAAGCACTACTCACTGTCTGAAAACAGAACAGCACCTAGCAGATGCAGCTTATAAATACTAAAATTAAAAAAAAAAGCATTCCCTAAGAATTTTAGGCTAAATCATGACTTATATGTATCTGGTGTTCTCAAACTGCACACAGTTGATTGGCCTACCAATCAAAAATGTTAATTTACTGTCCATTTGCCAATGTTGCACGGAAAAAAACAACTAGAATATATGTGATAGAAGAAAAATGATGACAGTAACCAAGGGATCCAAAATTTACTCACCCACAACTAACATGAATAAGTCAACTTCATTTGTCTAGGCTTCAATCTACTTATTTGTGCTGAGGATTTTATTACATAATTTTAAAATAACTTTCCAGTTCTACAATTCAATCATTTGAAATAGATTCCTCCAAATGAAAATCATCAATATTCTTTTAAATATACATTATTTTTTATAATCTGAGCACAGTGACCATGGTATATCAAGCACCCAGTTAAGGGCTTACTGTCTGTTTATAGCCAATTTTGCCTGAACTCCTCCTTTTAGAAACCTCATTTTGAGTTCTTTCCATTTCTGACTCCAAAGTAGAAATAAATATTAGAAGCAATAAAATTTCATAAAATCCCTAGCATTATAGCTCATAAAATGAGATTTAATTGTGCAGTAATTTCTCTCTTGGAAAATAGTTACACTTCTAATAATATATGTATGCCAAAAAACTTAATCCAAGGGTACTAAGAAGAACCAGTTTTTATACATGTATGTAAAGACATTTGTTACTTCTTCCTTTCAAATAACATATAAAATAAAAAGTTTGTTAAACTTTCATTCAACTAAATCCAAAAATTCCTCATGGGAGAAATATCCATCTACCACCACTGGAAAAAACACTTCAGAAGTCTGATATAATGTAAAAATAATTTTTTAAAAAGATAGAAGATAGACGAAGCCAGAGTAAGGAGGCTAACTTTTAAAATTAATAAAAGTGATTTTTTTCAATTGAAATTCAAATAAAGCAGTGATGGCATTTAAAGAAATTGATTGTATAACACCCAAATATATAATATTCCCAATAATATTATGGGAAACAACCTTGGAAGATGTAGTAAGTAGAATTTCTGAGACAAAGAAAATGCAGGCAGCAAGACAGAAAAAAAATCCTATTTTATAAAATGCTATGACAAGAGGTCCTTTAGCACTCAGGGAAAATAATCATGAATCTACTTCAATGCACAATACAGGTACCAAAAATAGTGGGCATGAGAAAATCTTCATATGGGAAAATCTATGAAAATAGAAATAAATTCTGTAGCAAACTTGAATTAGTTGTCTATCTAAGGACAGCAATAAAACTACATTATGAAACAAAACCAGAAGTGATTATGTAATACCTTGTGTGAGATTACCTCCTGCATTATGCCGGAAAGATAAACCATCAGAACCCTAGCTTTATAAACATATACACACAACAACGTAAATTTTAAAATGGACTTGTAGTTAATAAGTGTATCCTCCATTTTTTTTATTTCCATTCTTCTACACTTGTAGCCTCTCACTGACTTTTTACAAGCTGGAAACTGGGAGAAGGAATTAAATATGATATAAGCATATTAGCTTTATTTCCTTTAGATTTAATTGCTGTCCACTTTTAAGGTTACTACTTGATAATCTCTAATATATCAAAGCCAACAGTGATTCAAAAAACACTTTTTTCCTCCCAAGGGATCAGCAAGAGCAAATGCCTTTTGGCTCCTTAAAAACGTTCCAACCGCAAATGTGGTAGGAATAAGCACATCTTACCTAACACCAAACCATATATATACTTCGCCTCACTAAACAGATGACTCACTACTAATGACAGAGTAGAGTGTCACAGAGCTGTTATGTAAGCTCATTCTGGACTGATTAAGGGCCGGGCTAAACGGAATGAGACAGCCAGGCTTTACAACCTTTACAGCTTATCTTTGGCCTCAATCTTAGGCATTTATAGGCTGGCACACATCCGCATCCTCCAAAAAGCAAGATTTTGAGGCTAAAACTTAAATTTCTAAAACTTCAAAATGCCACTTCTCAAAGATCAATACATTATCTATCATTTAGAATGAAAAGGAAGCCAATATTTTCATTGTAAACTATGCATCAGGCCAGAAGTTAGACGCTTTCTTGATGAGGTCTCGCTTAAACTCCACACTGAACTTGAACAAACCTGGGAAACTGCCTTTCCCATTAAAGTCCTATGGAAGTTACTGAAGGAAGTTACAACACACAGCCCTCTTTCATGTAACTGTTTTGGGTGGGAAGGTAAGAAGACAGCATGAAGTTAAATCTACAACAACGAAAGTCAATCCCTCTGAAAACATTATCAGCAAAACCTAAATCTCACATCGACATTACTAGTACACATGGCAGACGTGGAAAAGACTATCGACCACTCACCATAATGCATGTAGCAGTTTCCTTTGGTGGGATCCAGTTCGATAGCCTTCAAGAAGAACTTCTCAGCCTCGCTCTTACGACCCTGGAAAACAGAGAAATTGGATGATTCAGCAACAGATCATGAGAGATTCTTCACTTCTTGGGTCCAAATGAAGTAAACTAATGTTTACTTGATAATCATCATTTAAAAAAAGTGTTTTATTTTTATCTAAATGGGGATGATCAATGAAAACATGTTGAAAGAGAAGACCAAGGTCTGAACCCTGGGAAACAAGAATAAAGAACAGAAGGAGAGAAGGAACTTTTCAAAAGGATCAAAAAGGAGGAGGCCAGGGAAGTAAGATTAAAAAAATGGTTTCACAGAAACAGTTTTAAGGGAATACTTTTATTTTATATTTTATTTTCTGCCTTTAGCTTACTTCCTCTTAATTCCTTCTTTTTCCCTGTAAAGAACTATGGCCATTTTGCTTTTGAGATGGTCTTCATCACTCACTTTATAGATGAGAAAAGAAGCCAATTTGGTGACCCTCAATCAGCTACTGCTTATTGTTGCTATCATTCAGGACTAAAATTCTCTAATCCAGGATTTAAACTAAAGCCAGGTTAACTTCCTGACTGTGGTTTTAAGTATTAATAAATATTGCCATTGTACTCACACCAATAAAAATAACACCAAAATAAAGGGGGAAATATTTGCATGCAATAAATTGATTTTTCATGAAATGATATCATAATCTAAACAGATTCTAAAACTATACATTGCCCACCTAGCTATTGCTTTGTTGTAACAGAAAGGGGTGGTCCAAAGTCCGCAGACAGCCCTGAGAACAACTTCCCTAGAGCAGTTCTATCTTGTCTGGTGTGGCTAGAAAGAAAATCTATAGTGACTGAGAATGGCAGCAAGGCACTGGGTGGTGTCCAAAGCCATGGACCATGGTACTGAGAAATGGCTTTATCTGCCCATTCCTCCTAATTTATATATTTAATACTATCTACCCATATAAACGTCAGGCATTTTTTTTTCTTACTTCACATATATTTTCACAACCACAGTTATGAAGATCAATTTTCCAAAGTTAGAAGTTATATAATTAACCTAATATTTTACATTGAATGCAACTTTGATCATTTTTCCATACTGCCTTCTCTTGTGCATGTTCTTGTTCAAATTCACCATTGCTACATTCTTCCATTCACTCATTATTCTAGTAGTTGAGACACAGCTCACAGCCTCTACCACCTATAGCTAGTGATAACCAAATGATCAGAAAACTGACTCCCTCATTTCTTCTATCATTTTAATAATGCTACTCCTTTCAGTAACTCCTCTTTAAATCACAAGTCTTAATAAATACCCAATAATTAAAATTTTAAAATTCCCTGGAATGTTTCCCACAACATTTTAACTTCAAAGAGAAAAGAGGAAAGCACAGAGAGAAACAGTATAACAGGAGGGACCCAATCACGTAGGGCCTAACAAAATCCTTGAAGGAGGCTGAAATTTCGTTTTTCTTTTTGGCGAAAATTAGTTTCAATATTGGATGCCACATGTTGCTTTGACTCATCGTTCCTTAGGTAATAACCTACAAAGGGTTGGACAGCCTCCCAAATTGGTGTGGCATCCTTGTGCAGGAGCCATGCTGATCTTCTCTGTATCATTTCCCTCTCAGTGCATGCGCTGCTGAAGTAAGCACTGGAATTTCTTTGGACATGAGGGACATGAGAGAAGATTTAATAGAGGTGAAGTCACCTCTATTTATTAATAGAAATGACCTATAACAATATAATCTCATTTACACTTAGAAAAAACACATTCTTGATTTTGGTTGGAAAACTGTAGGGAGGACAGAAGAGAAAACAGACAGACCCCTTAGGAGGTTGTTAATACTCCACAGCTTAGATAAGGGTGACAGCAATGGAGGTGGTGAGAAGTGATTACATTTGGGATCTCTTTTGAAGAGAAGTGGCCAATCAGGTAATAGAAAAAGAAGACTCAAAGATGATTGCACAACTTTTTACGTGGTGTATGTGGGTGAATGCAGGTATTATTTATTCACCTGGGAAAATGACACCTGAGAAAACTGTGGGAGCAAATGTCAGTAGGAAGGTACACACGTAGTAGAGTCATGGAGTTCTGTCTGAGACGCTAGGGCAACTGAGTATGGAAGACTAATTCAGAAAGACTGGCCAAATAGGGTGCCACATACCAGTATGGGGAGGAAATTAGAATACTGGATATCTGGCACCTAGAGTGAGAAGTAAAAGGAGAAGACTTGTAAGAATGCCAAGAAGGGAGCAAAAATGGAAAAGTAATAGCAAAAACAAAAAGAAAAAAAATCTCACCTACTTAGAATTTTAATGTCTTGAATAAAAATATATTAAAATCATTATAAGATATGAACATATGGGACCATTTTAAATAACCACTTCAAATTATAACTATGCCTTTCATAAACATGTTATTTTAAAATCTGATAATTTTTAAAATTCAAGTTTAACTGTTGTTTTCTACACAGCTTTGACAGTATGAGTAAAATTGTTAGATTTTAAAGTATAAACACAGAAGGGCTAAATTCTATAAATATTACATAACTAAAGGTGTTTAGCTGACTCAGATTTCCTGTTATATTACAATTTTCATTTCCTTTCTACATCTGTTCTCTTGTATATTCTACCTTCAAGCTTAAAGGGGTCATCCACATGCACTGTAATAACATTTCAGTGGAGGTGATTTGATAGGATACAACCACATCATAAGCCCCACCTGGGCAAATTACTTAAGCTGTTACACTGTGCTACTATACTAAGCTCAAAGCTAAAAACCACTATCTCATCATAACTCTTATCCATCCATAATCTCAGTTGATGAGAACAGAATTCAGACATTTCATTAAAACATCTGAGGAAGCTAAGATGAAGTAAGTAGAAATTCTGTTTGAATCACATTTGTAATTAAGTTATAGGTAAATATAAGTATATCCTAAAATTTTACTTAAAATTATGCAAATCATTTTGGATATTAAAATGGGCCATTCTCCGACTTTAGAATTATGCATATAATTTATCTTTCCATAACAAACCAAAATATCTGCTTTTAATTAAAACAGTGAAGTTTTAGCAATTCATTCAATTTATTCATTGATTCCCTTAATTTGATAAATTTTATTGAGTACCTCCCATGCATCCAGCACTGTATTAAGCACTAGGATAAAAACCATGAGTAACAGACACAACTTCTGCTCTGGTGAAGCTTGCAAAACTGCAGCTGTTAAGAAGATAGAAAAAACAGTAGATGGGACTTTGACCTCTAAGTTGGTTTGATGTATTCAAAGTATTCAGGGAGGGTTTCCAAAGGAACTGATGTCTGATCTAAAAATCAAAAGATGTATATGATTAACTAATGGAAGGGGAGATAAAAGTATTCTCAGGAGAGGCACAGCAAAGGTAAAATACCTGTGGTAAGAATAAAAGAAGACGAAGAAGAAGAAGAAAAAACCTGCGTGAAGCTCAAGGTGAGTAAAGCAGAGGGGAGTGAAAGTGAAAAAGTAAGCAAGAGCAGAGCATACCTGGCTGATCAGTCATACTAAGATGTATCTGCTGTTTTATATTAATAAATATAACTACGAGGGTAGCAAGGATAACAGAGTGCAATGGGAACAGAAGGGAAGGAGGCAGGTGACAGTAGAGCTATAGTTAATGAACTGGCAGGAGAGAGATTTAGATAAAAGAGACAGAATGACAAGATGGGGACACGGTAAGGAGAGGATGTGAGGAAGGAGGTGGAGTAACAAAGATGACCTCTAGGTTGCTGGACTATGAAACTGAAAGGAAAGTCGTAAATAATGGAAGAGGACCGGGTTTAGGAGGCAAGACCCTGAGCTCAGTTTTGAGAACTGTAGAGATTAACATACCTTTCAGACACCTGAGATGTCAAGGGTGTGTTTGTTAATCAGGTTGAATAAGGGGTTCAAGGTAAAGTGATCTGGTGTCTCAAGCAAACAGTACTAAGTCAATTGTGTCAAATGCTGGAAAATACCCACTGGATTTAGTAACAGATCATTGGTGACCTCAGTAAGGTGTGTTTAATAGGTCTTGAGGTCAGAAGTGGGTAGAATGGGGTGGAGCCAGGTAAGAAAATGGATAGAGCAATTCCAGACAACTCCATCAGTATGCCGGGCTATGAAAGGGAGGGGAGCAGCAGGGCTAGCAGGAGGACACAGACACGTGAGGATTTTGAAAAAGAAACACAGAAAGTCAAAATATAAGTCACAACTGGGCAAACAACTTAATGTATAGGTTTTTTTCTTCTTTTGATTTAAAATTAGAAGAGAAAAGAACCCCCAAAAATCTATTTTTAGAAGTCTCATATAACTTTCCAATTATGGGCATAACCAAATTAAGCCTGCCCAGAATTCTTCAAGCTGAGTCTATTCCTCCTGGGTGCTCTAACAACACTTGATTCCTACTTTTGTTGTGACACTTACCATATGTAGTCTAATTACTGTTTGTAATCTCCTCTTCTAATTGTAAACCACTTTAGGGGAATTGTTTAATCAACACTTAGCCCAGGGCCAGATGCATAGTAGGTGGTCAAAAATGCATGAAGAATGTTAAACATCTTGCAAAAGCAAACACTCAAAAAACACTTCTTAAATGCCTACTCTCCTGGAGAAGTGTTGTTGCCTCAGTGATAGATAGCATAGTTTCCTGTTGTAAATCTGACTAAATCTTGAGGCTTCAGTGATACTTAGAACTTTCTGGCTACTGCCAGCATTGGTAACACCTGCTCTCCACAAGGAAAACAAGAAGCTACATATTTTATCAGTATTCTGTGATCCTTACAATGGCACCAAAAGGTCATGAAAAAATGGTCTCCAACAGGAAATTTTTCTTTGTAGAGATAAAGAGGCCAATGTGATCTCCTTTTAGGGTATTAGTGCAATTAGAAAGGCCTTAAATCTTAGCTGTCAGCGACAACTCTAATCATTCAGGGGACTATGGGTGCAAGGGGTACTCTAGGAGCATGCACTGCATCACTCCACCCAAACTGCAGCAATAGCATGGGAAGCTGCTATGCTGATT